TTAGGAAAGAGTAGATATTTTAAAATGTGTGTACAATGATATATCTTACACCATAGTCAAAAAGCACGAGTTAAAGCCAACAGTATAGGGGAAAGTCAAAAGGCTCTTTCCCGTGATTTAGATAATTTACTTTAATTTTTAAATCATGAATTTACTATTTATGATTTAAATTCGCTATACTATTAATATAAATCTCGATAATACTTTTTGATTGGAAAGTTGATATTATCAATCAAGTACTATTATCTATAAAACATGAATCTTGACATCAACAATATTACTGATATTTATTTATTTAAAAATTTTTTTTAATGACATTTAAAAAAATGTATTCAGCTATTTTTTAAAAAAAAAAATATAGAATATTAGTATCTGAACGAATCAGCTTTTATATTAATTATCATTAGAAATGTACATACAATAATATTATAAAAATGTTAGTGTTTGATATTATATTTTATAAGGAGATGAACGTATTCCAAAATACAAGGTATAGAAAATCAATATTCAATTTTTGTACCGTGTGATTTTTTAATATTATTTAAATAACAAAACCGGAAACATGATATTATATTTCAATAACATGGAACATTAAACGTCTTATAATATTATACTCCATATTATAATGTACATTATTTTTCGTTTAACTTTTCAAACGGTTTTTTTAGAATATAATCGGAGCGATAAACATATTGATTTTGCAATAATAGGCGTGTTTTTTTTTAGTGTCCAACACATTTTATAATAAGAAAAACTTTTATTTTCAACTTCAATATCTTTTTTGGTAAAAAACTGGGTATAGATGGTATAGTTAGTTCTTTGAAAGTCTAAAGTCAAAAAAAAATCTCTGTATTTTTAATAACAAATAAGAAAAGCGGAAAAATCGGTTTTATAATTTGAAAATAAATGATTGTTAATAAGTACTTAACATTTTTAGCAATCTCTATTAAAAAAAAAATAATTTTAAAATATTTTGACTTTAGATTTTTTTTTTTTCTATAAATATTGATAAAAAAAAAAAAAAAAAAACTATCACATCAAGAAAAGCTTGAAAATTAAGTACAAAAATACAAGATTCCTAAAAAATGTTTTTTAGCTGCATATTAAAAAACATTAAAATATACGACATGATTTTTTTTATGAACATTTAAAGTTCAAAAATTGAAAAAAATCATTAAAATTGCTAACATTTAAAATGTTTCCGAAGTCGATAATTTATAAAATATCCAATTTATATAGCCAAAACGAAAATATATAATACAAAGTGGTTCTTGACAAGTATTTCATACTGGAAAAAAAAATTTAAAAAAAATAATAAAAAATAATAACAAAATTGTTAATTAAATGAAGAATTACAATCTTATTTATTTCATTGTAATTTAAAATTATTCTACACGGGTGCATTAAAAATTCACGTGTACATAATTTCACAGTGATATTTTCAAATCATTTAGGTTAATTTAAATCGTTATTACTTATTTATACCATTAACCAATTTACGGTAAGTCGCGGTATCGACTCAAAAGTAAATAACAGAAGTACATTATATGAATATGAACACTATTGTGATAATAAAATACTGTCAATATATTAAATTCAATGTTTTCAGTAAAAATTAATTCAACTTACCATATTATCATTAAATAGATTGTAAGTTTACATACAATCTTTGTTCAGAATCGTTTTTCGTAAGCGATGACTTATTATTGAATTAAAATTTAACACGTATATTACAGTGAGTAATTCAATGACAAGATACACTTAACACCTACAACAATAGGCACAGTTGTATTACAGCAAATCGATTACCAACTTTTCTCATTTTAATATTTTTTAATGAGTTTAATATGACGTATTAAAAGTTCCACCATAATAGCATATACATATATATAATATACATACTTGGGTAACTAAAAATAATTATTTAAACCCGATTCGTTGAAATCTACATAACGCGTAATACGCACATTGATAATATCATACATACGTATTGTATAGAAATATTTTAACCGATTTAGACATTTGTCCGTGTTTTTTGTTCTAATTATATATTTTCACGTAAATATATATTATTGTTGTAATACCGATGATTAAAATCTATAGTTCGTAGTATCAATAATGACAGGAATTCATTGAATTAAAATTTATGAATGGCTATTAGCTCATAATATTATAATGGACATTACGTTTCGCTGGTTTCTAAACTACACGAAAACAGTCGAACAAATGTCAATTGTGCACGAAGTACAAGATCTGTTTCTCTGTTTCCGCGTTTTAGTGGTATTATACAATAGGCTGTCGCGTGGCTGATTCACTGTGGGAGCAACTGAGCAAGTGACAGTTATACTGGTGTTATAAAATTATACAATCAAAGAGACATCGATACAATTAACATTGGAAACGTATGATTACAAATTTTTATGATAAAAAAGATCAATTACTTCAATAACAAAAAAAAAAAAAAAAAAAAAAAATAGAAAAACTTTTAGTTGAGTAATTAAATTCATAATTTGATATTTCACCGCAAACTCTATCATTTCTATTTTATATATTATTCGTTAGGCTATGTTGATCAGGTTATTGAAATAAATAAACACAGGATAATATTTGACGATATTGATTTAAATCTCCAAACTGACTTGACAAACTCGAATATCTGACCGACGCGTGCGATATACATATACGACTATAGGAGACGTGAATTTTGGCTCCAAACTATTTAAACGAACATGGCCTGATATATTCAACCTTAACGTGTATAATAATAACAGTATGAACAACAACAGTACTGACTAATTGCTAAAAATGTACGGTTTTGACCAGAGGCGCGGAACTAAGATTTTTTACACCCGGGGAAAATATTAAAATTACGCCCAATCATAGACCAAGACTAAAATATCTTTCCCTACGATTGTTTTCTAATAACTGGAATTCAAATTACAAACGTACTACATTCTTATTAAATTTTAAACACATATTAATGTTAACTAACAAAGTTAAAAATATCGAGCTATTTCTTACTCATAGAATCATGTTATTGCTTGTGTTACAATAATTAAACTAAATAAAAGTTATTCTGATTTTTACATTGCTATTTGCTAACTATTAAATTTATTAATAATAAACTTGTTTAATTCAATGAAAGAACCTTTTAATTTAAAAAATTGTTCATGTACAAATAATTAATTTCAATACACAATCTTTACATACTTAACAAAATTTAAAATTTAATTTTTCTGGCTTTTACCTCAGCGAAGTCGTTTATAACTGAATCGAAATCAATTGAGTTTGATATTTCTTTTTCAATAGACAATAATGCAAGATTAGTTAGTTTTGTTTGATTTATTGTGGAGCGTAAATACGTTTTTATTAGTTTCAGTTTGCTGAAACTTCGTTCACACGTGGCTGTTGTACATGGCAATGTTAAATAAAGTCGAAGTGCTATGCAAATATTTGGAAAAATATTTGTCATGGAATACTCAAAAATAAACTCTAACAGTTCTAATGGTGTTGTATTTTTGATACTAGGTAATGCACTTATGGCATGATGTTTAAAATGTATTATTTCTTCTGTTAATTCTGAAGCATTTAAGTCTTTATTATATTTTAAGGCTAAATCAGCTGCTGCTTTGACTAATTCATCTGTATCTTTTTCGAATAGTTCAGATCCAGTCAGAAAACTAAAATCTGAAGATACATTATTCAATGTTTCAAATCTCCAACCGAAGTGTGTAAGCAAAACATCACAGACATTTTTCAAATTAATTATGCAATTGTTTTTAGCAGAAATGTCCCATTCATCAGCAGATTCATCAATATCCATTTTTTTTTGCTATTTTTTTCCTTTTTACTGGAAACGAAGGAGAAATATTCATACACTAATTTGTTCAGCGTCTTGGAATAATATTTGAATTCTATTATTTCTTAAGTCAGTTATTTCTTTAATTAATCCATGAATCATTTTTGATGCTTGACATATTGTAATTGTTTTTTTTTGAAGAAATATATTTACACAATCAATACTTGATAGTATAGAATTCCAAACCGTTTAATAAGCAAATAAATTCGTGATCCACTAAATTAAGTAAATTTTTTGCAATAGGTTTTCAATCAAGATTTCCGTTTTCAATAATATTAATCAAAGCACATTTCACTTCAGGCAATTGTTTGTAAAGGGCTTTTACTGCAGCAGCTTTAGAGGACCATCTAGTATCGGAAAATGGTTTAAGAGTTACTTTCAATGATTTCATCAATATTTCCCAACGTAAAGTAGAACCAGAAAAAAAATTAAATAGTTGTTGAATTTTACCGAACAATAGTTGCATTTGTTTATTTGATCCTACAGCATTTACACCTGCTAAATTTAAACAATGTGGTGTACAAGGCATAAATGTTGCTAAGTTATTTTTTTCTAAAATTTTTGCTTGAACCCCATTGTACTTCCCTGCCATATTTGATCCGTTGTCATATGCTTGGCCCCTACAATTATTAATATCCAAACCATCTTAAGATATCTGATGTAATATTTCAGTAGTCAAACCACCACCAGTTTTTTTATGAGATTCTATAAAGCCTAAGAAACTTTCTTCTACAATTACTTTACTACCAGTGACACGAACGTATCTAATAACTTGACTTATTTGCTCTATTCTTGACACATCTGGCGTGTAATCAAACATTATTGTATAATATTTAACAGATTTAATTTGATGTATGATTTCATTTCGAACTCTTTTAGACAACAAAGCTATAAACTCATCTTGAATTTGATGAGAAAAGTAATTTATAGAACTTTTTTTATGTGATTCAATGTGTTCTTTTAATATAAGATCATATTTACTTCTTAAACTTAACAAATTAAGAAAATGACCTGCGGATGGACTCCCAGGTATGTCTGAATGTCCCCTCAATCCTAAATTGTTGTTGGCACAGTACAATATTGCATTCAAAATTGCTTTTAAAATGTGTCTCCATTTTGCTTCTTGTGATCTTATTTAATTTTATAAACAGTCATCAATAGCTCCACCATTTTTTAATTTTTTTTCAAAAATTTTCCATTCAAGGAAATTTTTAACGTGGTCTGAAGAATTTTCATGTTCCATTAAACGTTCCATTTTTTTCCAGTTTGTAAAACCTTGTTTAGGATCTGTTAAGGCACTTGATTTGGTTCCAAATAAAATACAACAAAAACAAAAAATAGCTTCATTAGGTTCAGAATATATCATCCATGTTCTGTCACACTTTTCACCGTTATTCATTTGTTTTAAAAACCAATGATTTTTGAATGGTTTAGGTACTGTTATCCCACGATTTGGTCCATGAAGAATAAGTATACTACGCAGTTTATCGTTAATAGGATACCAAGAAAGAGGATTGTCGAACAAAATTTCAGAAAAATTAGTGACTTTAAAATGTTCATACTTATTTTGAGATTCTAAAGATACTTCAAAAGTATTCTTATTTATTTCTTTTTCATTTTGTTCAATATTTATTTCGTTGCCATCAACATCTAAAGAACCGTCAGACTTAAGATTTATTTCATTTTCCTTTTGTTCAATGTTTACTTTATTGACCTCAACATCTAAAGAATTGTCAGTCTTTTCCACAACTTCACATTTTAACCAGTTTTTCCGCGTTTTTTCCCACTGTTTTGCTAATTCTAGCTTTTCAGCTTCTATCTTCTTCTTCCTATCACGAAAAAACGAACCTGGAGGTCGCTTTGACATTTTCGTTCTTAAATCTTTTATTAAAAAAATTTTATTTTTGATTTTTTGGACCTCTATATAATTTAATTGCCGACTCCTGCTATACACCATATTATAACATTGATTTTTAATGAAAAGTATTTTACTTTTAAATATAGAAAAGAAAAATCAAATTTAAAATAATACAAATTTTTAAATTGTTCATTCAAATAATTCTTACATAGAAAAAAAAAATTAATGCTGTTAAAAAAAGATGTATGATTAGTATATAAAAATGAGTTTATTATTGTCCATAGAGTAGACTTTATAAGAAAAAATATGTTGAAAATAATCAAATTTTAATTATTGACTGTTTTGTATAAAAATGCTTTTGTTGTTTTAGTTCTATACGCCTCAATTATAATAGACCTTTTGATGAAATATAAAATCTCTTATTTTGATAAAGGTACACAATTAAGACCAATAAAAAATTTAATTAAATTAAACAATTTATAAAAGTAAAAACAAAAACAAAACACTGAAAACCAAATATTTTTTTTTTAACATAAACAAATGTATAAACATCTTGGTAAATATTATAATGCATAATATTATACAATATTAACATAATTTTTAATATACCTACAGATATAATATATCGTACGTTGTTTGATACGCCTATAAAAGTTATTGTGTAGGCATAAGTAATTTTAATGTAAACACAGCATAAAATATCAATACATGCACCTAGTTTAACTCGGAATCTTAATAATTATAGAACCTATATACCAGTACACGTATACTTATATGAATCTATTCATAATTTTACCGTTAAATAGATGTCTAAATCTTTAGATCGATGACCAAAATGACGAATCCGGATTATTAATATAATATTACAATATTAAAAAATATGCACAAAAACGACAATACAGTAAAATTACATACAAAATATAAATGAAAAATGACAGAATAATGCATTTATCACTGGAAATTAATTTTGTGCTATTTTTGTCAGTGTCGTCGTTGTTCGTCGACGATAGTCGATAACGTTCATACTTATTATTTAAAATATATGTTTATATTTAATTTTTATTATTTGTCTGTCTTTAAATGTAATATGTGCCGTCGACGTACGCCGATTGCGCAGCTATACGTGCTTTAATAAATAATAATTAATAATAGAATGATGATTATTTTACGCTGTGTATGATTTTATTTAATGTTTTTCATTCTTTTAAATGTGGCTATTATTATATAATAAACAAATTATGAGAAATAAAAATAGTTTTATAACTTCTAACAATAAACATTAAGTAAAGGCCCACAAAAAATTACGCCCACCAAAATTTTACGCCCGGGAATCAATCCCCGGATTCCCCCCTCCCTTAGTTCCGCCACTGGTTTTGACAAGCAAATAGTACAGATATATGGTATTCCAGTTATCAGACTCTAAGTGAACTGATGTGAATGTCTTGCTTTTATAAAAATGTGTTTTTTTTTTCCTATTACTTTTAGACCCAGGAAACAATTCTTAAATCTTAAACTTTGAATGTGTTTCTTGAAATTAATCAGGTAAAATAACTGACAAACAGAAATATTTTATGTACCTAATATACACTTAGACAAATTCTGTTTGTATTATATTCTTGTGATTTAAAAAATGATATTTTTAGATACTTGAAAATAAATATTGTTTGAAATGCGCAATTACACTTTCAAAATACCAAATCTAATTAGCCGCAGTATAGTATATACTTATTTATATTCTTTTGTGGTACATTGGTATTTATTTATAATTAATAATAAGTAGAAGTAAATACTAAATATCATATTTTGAAAATAATTAAGAAATATATTTAAAAAAATGTGTGTTAGATAAAAACTTAATTTTTATTTATTAGTCAACATAATTTTTTTGTTTATTTTAAATTAAAAATAAAATGTAATTTGAATAAAATAATAAAAGCTGATACATTATTAATACAGACTACAGAGATTTAAAATCGAAATATTTTAAAAACTTCTTTCCGTTATTTGATGTACTTAGGGCCGAATTTGATTTAAACTATACTCAATTTAGTTTTATTTAAAGTAATAATAAAAATATAAAATGTTTAATTAAAAATATATGAATTTATGTTTCTCTATATTGTATTATATTTTAATATTAAAAATACAAATGATTCTGTTTCTATATCCATGTCTATTTTAGTTTTACTCAAAAAATCTTTGTTCGGTTTTTGAGAAGGAATGGGATGGTAAAATTGTAATACCTGTGAGCAAAACAAGTCTAAATATGAATCATCAAAAAAAAAAAATCATCTTAATAATCAGTGTCTTCATCTGTCGTCACGATTACATTTAAATATTATTCTAATATCATTGTAATCTTCCTTTGCATTATTGAATGTTGCAAAATATTTCAAGTATATTTTATCAAGTTTTTCAGATTTTACACGATTGCAATGTAAAGTTAGAATAATTTTTATAATATTTAATTTTGTAACCATAAATAGACAAATTGATTAAGTGAGAGTTCAAAAATCATTTTATTTTTCTGTTATCTTAAATCATAAGTAATTAATAGTAATCAAAAAAGCTACTCAACCGAGAGATTTTCATAAAAAAATTTTGTTGATCGATTCTGTAAAATCCATTAAATGTCTACTGTCTAGACTACTTTAATTACAAAATATAATTGTTTTTTTTTTGTATTATGAATCTATTAACAAATATTTTATTTATAGGTAGGTAAAAATGGCTGTACCCATTTCAATATAAATTACCTAAGAAACTTTTGTGAGACTTACGAAGTGTTATAGGCTAATTTTTTTACCAGAATTCAACCTTAAAATCATGGCTTGAACAGAAATGTTGTACTTAAAATACGAAAATTGAATTTTGTATTTATTTATTTATTTATTGTTCATATTGGTTATTGGTTATACAGGAAGAAAAAATGTTATTATTCAATTTGATCGTCACGAATAAGAAAGTCCCCTTTTAAAAATGTCATTATATCTTATTTTTATATGAAATACCTGCCACTCTTATTCTTTTATTATTACAAGTATTTTATTATTAATCAATCTGTTTATATAATAATAAAATTATGCCGATGTGATTATATCCAATTTTAATTATTTCTAGATTAAAATAATTTACTGTAATTGATACGACATCTAAAAATTTGTCAAGGCAAACCATCCGTATACTTATACTCATACCAAACGAGAATTTGTTTTCGGATTGTTAATTTTGTATGGATTTGAATGAAATTTGCATAGACTCAACTACTCTTTTTAGAAAATAAAGTAATACCTAGACGGTATTTCTGTCCAATTTTTACAGCAACTTTTTCAAAAATTGTATACGAATCGACTTTATTAACTTTATAATTAAAAATGTAAATTATTTTTTTTTAAACTATGCTGTGTTCATACTTTTTTCCCATATTAAATTTAACATACAGATTTCAATATATCCTTAGTCAAATCTTAGTTTTTAACTTGACGATCTTGTTTTACATTTTCAACCATTTTGTATACATATTGTAAAATTAATACATTTATTATTCATCTTAAAACTTAAAATAAACGATACTATATAGTTATAAGTTATATAAGTACATGTTATTAAAAAATAAATAAAAGAACAAATAACTAAAGAAACAACGAAACGTACAAAAAATTGAAATTTACAATTATTGAATATAAAAATGAAAAAGATACTAAGTAAAAGTGGAAGAACGTATGACGTCTTTGGTGCAAATTCTTGTACAGTAAAATTTTTATAAACAAAATATTTGAACTACTTTTAAATATATATTTTATGTGTTATTTGTTTCATTATAATTAAGTATAAAAACCTTTACTTATATTTAGCGTTTATAGCAGTGATTCTCAACCCGAAAGGGGGAATTTCCTCCCAGGAAAAATTTAGATACTACATGGAGGGAATATAATGATGATAAAATAACGAGAATTTTTTCGTTAAAATAATTATGCCATTTTACAATAAGTTCTTAATTTTTAATTTAATTTTTACTTTATTTTTAAAATTATGAAAAAAACCATTAGTTGTCTAATACAATACTATTTTGTATCACTAAATAAAATAAAAGACCTTTTGAACTTTAATAGAAGAGACGTAAGATTTTTTAAAATACACAAAGGGTTATGCTAGATTTGAAAAGGTTGGGAACAACTGGTTAATAATCATAGAATTATCATCATATCGTAACTGCTATCAAAAATGTTCACTATCGTCTCAAAAATGATATTTCAAAACAATATGGCAATTTGAACTAAGAGTGACTTATACAATTAAATCAATTAAATAATTAAAACCAATATAAATTGTACTACTGAGCAAAACATTTTATGGCTTATAATTTGCAACTTTTTTAATTTTAAACTAATTGGTAGCTCTTTTTTCATTAGGATCATATTAACATTTGTTGTATTTTATCAAGTATATTTAATATATCAACTTATTCTAAATTTAAAATTTAGTACACGCATTTTATTATTTTATTAAATTTTTTTAGATACTTTTTATTATACTGAATAATTATTTGTATTAGGAAACAATATCCGTTTAAAATATTTTTTATTGTATCAATATCACAAATAGTTACAAGAATAATAAAATTATATGATTGAAATGTTTGTTTCACTTTAAATTTTTTACATGAAATACGTGAAATATGTATTACGTCAGTAAAGTAGTGAAATAAAAATATTTGATACCTAACTTTGAATTAAATTATATTTACCATGAAAAATTTGCATATAAAATACACAAAGCCCATCGTCGCAAAATTGTACGTATTATATAACAAAAAAATAAATTATAATAATACGCATACCTATTTAACAGATAATTTGGCAAATCGTAAAATTCATATTTTTAATTATTAGGTTACGTTTGAATAGAATTTAGTATAATTATTAGGTACGGTCAAAAATATATCATTGCGTACGCCACAATATATTTCAAGTCAAATATTATAAAATGATAAAATGTTATTCTAATAT